GAATCGAGCTGACGATTCGAATGGAGAATCGAGCTGACGATTCGAATGGAGAATCGAGCTGACGATTCGAATGGAGAATCGAGCTGACGATTCGAATGGAGAATCGAGCTGACGATTCGAATGGAGAATCGAGCTGACGATTCGAATGGAGAATCGAGCTGACGATTCGGCTCAATTGGCTCTATCGGCCGGGGACCGCACCCTCGGAGGGTGTGCCTCGTGTGACGGGTGCACCCAGTGTCACGGGTGCACGACAAACTCGATGCTCTAAATGACTGAATATTGACACCCTCTGAAGTGAAATATATATATGCTTCTGGCAGGCATGGCCAAGCGAAGGTCATGGCGAGATAAATTCGTCGATCCTAGACCATGCGTCAATATTAGGTGGTGGTCTCTTAATGCAAACGTGGATATATAGAGTGATTTTTTATTCATGGGACCATTATGCCTATTTATAGTCTCGGAACAAATAGATGTATGAAATTTCGCATCAAGAATCTATAAACGTTGGAAAGTCATATTCGGAAAAAAAAGTCCAATGTGCGCTATGTGTCCTATAGAGACCTGAAGGCGGCCACAGAACGCGAAGTTACTCCCTTTTCCTGGATTCCCTGCAGACAGTCGTGCAGAATTACACCACGCCCCTACGACCGGTGATTGCGCACAGAGGACACATTCAATTTTTTTTTTTCAGGGTATAAATTTCCCATGCTTGTGGATTCTCGGTGCGAAATTTCAGGTATCTATCTCTATTTGTTCCAAATGATAAATTGTTATAATGGTCCCATGAAAAAAAAATCACACTGTACGACCGAGGATGTCGCACTTTCAGGATGAGTGCGATTCAAAAAATTTCGGGCGATCCCCATTCAAATTTAAAGAAGTTAATTGGCGCTCTCAAAAGCGATGATTCCAATAGCAGGAATGCCCTGGAGCACAAATGGGAAGAGAAAAGCCTTTCAAAACTAGGATCTGTCGTTTTTATTGTTGTCTATTTTCATGTACGCGATGAACCAAATGACGCAACTTGGCCAGAGCCCATTCCCAAAATTAATCACAATAATCTATAATTAATCACAAGAATCTATAATTAATCACAAGAATCTATAATTAATCACAAGAATCTATAATTAATCACAAGAATCTATAATTAATCACAAGAATCTATAATTAATCACAAGAATCTATGGTGTTCTTTGGAATTTCCTCAATGTCCTAAAAGGCATAGTCGTATTAGAATGGTTCCGTGCGCTATTTCAATGCAACAAAAAACTGAAAGGAAACGTGGCCAACGTGATATTTCTTGCGTGAAACTGATCCACCTACAGGTTCAACATTATTTTGCTCTTTTAACGGTTACTAAAATGTTCCCACTCCCCCTCTGGACCCCGTGAAAATTGTATTGTTTGTTGTTTATTTTGTAATTGTTTATTAATTGACAGACTCCATTTCATCCCATCCCCCGAAAGCCTCCCATCAACCATCATCCTCGAAGGAAATGCCCCCCCCCCCAACGACGAAGCTCCGTCCTCCATCGACCTCCCCCTGCCAATATCGGGGAGCGGCCGAACCGCCGCCTGCATATTTGATGGTCTTTGACGCCTTTCAGGCCTCCACTCGTCGTTCGTCACGGCGGCGTCGGTCGATTTCCGATGATGGATTCGAGTGCTTCCACTTAGCGTCTTTCCCGAAGCAGCAAATTGGAATGACGCGGGCGAGGAAACGTTTATTCCGAGGGGTCCCGTGCAAATGATGCATAGGGAAATGGTGGTACATTTTTTTAATGCAAGGAAATATTCGTAATTAGGCACTTGACACCAATTATGAGAAGAAAGTCACTTTGAGGGCAGAACGATTTTCTACACTTCTTGGAATAGGGATATTGAAAATAAAGTGCATTTTTATATATGCGGCAACATAATTTTTCCTTGCTTTACAAAGGCATGACCTTTTAGTGTATAATTTGCACGTGCAGAACGTGAAGAACATCGTGTTCCTAAAATGCCTGGTCCGTGTTCCCCCACTCAAGCCGAAAATAATCCCGCAGCGTTTCTACGCGTACAGTGTTGGAAACGAGGCCGGATACGTAGTCGTTGTGTGCTAGCGGAGGCATGTATCCAAATTTTCAGAATAATACTTCTCCAAAATTCCAGACGCTTTTTCGCAACACATAAATGTGATGAACGTTGACCTCCAACGAACTTCATCTTGTAACAAAGTTTATCAAAAGATAAACATTTCAGCAATAACCTCCGATCGAGTAGCACCCAGCCGTGGATGACGGTCTCTCCTTTCTGCAAGACTTCTTCTTTTACGTCTGAATCACATGCAATTCTGCTTTTGCAGGAGGTTTGGACAGGCCCAACTTTTGACTTAGACAAAATCAAGAAATGAGGCAGAGCCTTATTATTGCCTTTTTATACGTGCAACGCCGTGACAGCGGTAGTTTCGTTTCGAAACCCGGTGATTCGAGTTCACGGATCCATTTCAAAGGTGATTTAAATCGGTGCTCCCAAAATCATTTTTCTAATCGTGCCGTGAAGGTGTTGATGGTTTGAAGGCATAGGCATAGGGTAGATGACACAAATCCGCCCCCTCACCTACGTTTCGAAACTCTTGGTTTTGAGATCTACGCCAATCGAGAGGAAAATACACACACCGTTCATTCACGTTTCAAGACCGGACATTAATGTAATTTTGTCGAAAAGGACTCTCGGTATTCATCATTACGTTAAGTGGGGAGCGGACTTGATAGCAGGGACGGATCTCGTCTCACCTACCCCACGTGCTCATCCTATTCAGTAACGACCTCCGAGATCTTATTGTCGACATCTCCAGGAGCCACCTTCCCCCCGGCCCAGGCCTTCGTCATCGGCCTTGACATCTCCTGCGGGTACGCCATGCCGTCCCACCCGACAAGCAGGCGCGTCGCCTCCTCCGAGTCCGTCTTCCCCAGTCTCTGGTAGTTCCCGACCACCACCACCCACAGATAGGTCAGGATCCCTGCGGGGAGAGGCGGGAAGCGTGTCGGTTCTTGCCTCGAAAGCGTGGAATTCAGGGGCTGAGGGCAAAATCGTGTGCCTTAAGGACCCTACTTCGGATGCATTTAGAAGATTGAGGTCGATTTTATAAGCACGAATTCTTCATGTGACGATGTTTGAGTGCGTAGAAATATCTGAGATTTCATGAAAAGATAGTTTCTATAGATGGCAGAAAGGGACCTCAAACCGCAAGAGGCAACTCGAAAAGAAACAATATCAGGACGAGTATCCCTTGTTTTGTTCGAGTCGAGCCGCATTCACAGCACATCGTGCAACACTTTTTACGAAACCCGAGCGAGACCCGTACTCACAGAAAACGATGAACATTGCAAAGACGATAGGAATGTTGTATTGGGCGAGAGGAGGGTAAATGAAGGAGAAGTAGGCAAAGTATCCCAAGAAGGCCAGCAGCCCCACCGTCGCCAGAGGATGTACAATCAGCCAAGGCAAGTGGAGACCCCTCACATTCTGTCAAATCCATACGACTTGTGCAAACCCTTCGAGTCGGCTTTTGAGCATCTTTGAAATGAGGAGGACTCACGTTTTCCGCAGCACAAAGGAGGAAGAGGGAGCTAAGAACATAGAGGGCAATGAGCACGAGGGCCGAGATCGTGATCGCATTCCCAACCCTAGTGAGAGAAAATAATGCAAATAGAAGGCAGCATAGAATGGGTAACGGTTGTACGTAGAAACCGAAAAAGTTGGCGGCTGTGAATCCCGAGTGAATTCGTTTGCAAGTGTCAACGGCACACCCTCTAAAATTCAAACTTGTGGAGCGGGAAACCAATGCTAGGGATTGGTACGGGGAATCGTGATCCAGTCGATGATCGAGATGTCATTGGTGGATCGAAAGGATCCACCCGGGATCTCACGAACCGTGAAGCGATTGCAAGCTTCAAACTCGAAAATCCATGGAACCATGGATTTGCGAGTCCCAAGTCGACAAGTACTTGCGAAGTACTCACTTGTCGTACGTGTAGCCCAACTTCGCAATACTGTGAACCGAAATACTCAGGAAAATGAGGCATGGGATTGCGACGACCTAGAGGAAAGTGCCAATGCTTGAAGCACATCGACAAATACGACAAAATAAATTCGCGAGTTGCGATCACTCGGACACTTACGAGGGAGAGGGTCGCGATGACAACACTCCCCTTCCTGGTGGAAATGCAGCCGCAAAAAGTGTCAACCCACACCATTCTCGTACAACTCTGAACGCAACCTCTCCGCACCTACAAGCCTGGCTCTGCAGGAGGCACCTTCATCGCGGTTATATACCCATCCGCCTAGCGACCAATGATGCGCCTGTCCGGTCCGGTCCAGGATTTCATCGATTGAAATGAAAAAATGCCCCACTTTCGATCGCGTTGGTCCTTTGGATTGGACTCGTTTTTCTTTTAGAGTTTTGCATCCATACGACGAGGATAACTTCGTTCCCCAATTTGTAGCTACAGATAGCTAATTTGCAGAACAATAACGAAAAGAGATACCGTCGTAGGCAATAGCAACAGACTATTAAAAAAATAGCAATAGGCTATTATGGGAATTTCCCGCTTCGTGTCCCATGCAACTGCCAACACCCAAGTAGCCATGGATGAAACCAAAACTCGTCCACGGACGGTTCAGTTGTCCCGATATGGAACAAAGTCCAGAAGCGGGCATGCGGTGGATCTTCATAGGACGTTGTCGCCGTGGATCCATATCTTGTCATTGATTCTGACCAGGATATCTCTACATCTTACCCTCAATCGTTTCATTTTATTGGATTAGTCTTTAAATCTCTCGTCTTAGATTGAAACCCCGTGACTTAATTTACAGTAATCGACATTGAAACGAAAGGACGGGTTAGTTCGTCTTTGGACGTCCAATGGACAACTTCCCACGGTCCACCGTGCCCTTAGATTGGATGCCTTTGGATGCCCTCGGATGGACCAGATTGAAATGGGGTCTCATCTCACCTGACAACTAGCAGTTCGTTCAATAAAAGTAAAGTTTCGACCATACAGTTGAGTTCGCACTATATATGTTGCGAATGCACCTAGGACTAGAAGTACAGCACAATCAAGGCAAGACAGACACAAAGGACACCAAAAGTGAGACGCACAAAACACAAGGACGGGTCAGCAATTGGCACGAAGCCAGGCGATTGCTTCAGGGTCCGCACTGTTCAGTTTCGTAAGGCCACCGGGAAGGCCCTCTTGGACGACACAGCCGGCCAGTATATGGGCAGGGTCCTCGACCGCAACACAGCAGCAGTGTGGATTGTCACGGAGGCCCCACTTGTAGTCTGTCAGCGCAACGGGTCGTATCGCAGAGAATACGGATGCGAAGTGACTGCGTCATCATCATAACTGCCCCGGTGTCTTGGGCATCAAGTTGAGAGAACGCTAAGAGAATGGTTCTTTGTTTCGTGTTCGGTTGCTCTCACCAAACCTCTCGAGCCCGTAAGTATGTGGGTAAAAGGCCAGTCCTCTACGACAGGCCTGTGTGCCAATTTTTCCGCTTCCCTAAGGGCAAGAAGTTTGCCACCTGGGAGCGATTTTGCAAGTGAGTTGGCATATCATAGTCATAATAAGGTTAAAGTGAGGCGTCTCGTACTATCCACCATATTCTAAGGCCTTTATAGGATAAGATGAGAGTTACTGGATGTCGAGCTAGGCTAGGGTGACCAGATGCGCCGATGTGAATTTTTCTTCCCGTCCTCTTCCGCATAGCTGGAATTAATATATGGGCATTCTCTGGCTAATTTTGGTTTTAAAAAAAATGGTCATCCCAAGCTAGGCTTTCTATGTTGAGCCATTCTTGAATATAGGGACTGCCTAAAACAGATTGGTATTTAAAGCAATGAAGCCCAAGTTACTACTCGTTGGCCCAATCTGAATAGTCTTCCATCTATTTACTGAGAGGTTTTTTCAAAACAATGAAGCAATGTTGGCTTGTATGCTATAAGATGTTGAATATGAAATGCACCAGGAAGTTCAAAGGTCGTAGTGAGAAGACATTGAGACAGTAAGTGAATCTTAGCTCTAATGAATTTCGAAACAAAGGCTGCACATGTTTCTGTGCATTTAAGGTCTATTATGTTCCTGCCTAGGCTAAAAATGTCCTGTCTCATCTCCAGTATACATATTAATGCATGGGGGGGGGGACTATGATTAAAAAAAATGGTAGGGACACCACATCACATACCAATTCAGTCATACTTTCCTATTGTAACAATAGCAATTCTGGTTATGTTGAAATGTTAGAATGCCAAAGATATTCTAAATGATATGCAGGATAGTGTAATCTTTTCAGATAGTCCTGCATTTCTGCTCACCTCAGTTCTTGTCTATTCAGATGTGCTGACAAAAGAGCCACCGTAGATGACAGGATCTGCAGCTGTCACTTCAAAGATGCAGATAGATTGAATGGACCCACTCTCAATGGCCCCAGTCATCGAGAACATCTTTTCCAAGTCCAGAGAGAAGAACAAGGTGGGTAATGTATGCTGAATCTCGATTTCTCTAGCATGCCACTCAGCTTTCAGTTGCTTGCCTTTGCTCATGACTGCTATTTTTTAGTTGAGCTCATTTCAATGTACAAACAGAGAGATGAACGCATGCAAGAGCTACAGTTATCAGATCATCCATTTTTTATTTCTGGCCTTGAAATAGACAAAAATGTAAACATATTTGGCATCAGAGCCTCACTGATCTTTATGTCTAGAAATTACAATTATGAATTCCAATTGATATGCAAGCTAAATAGGGTGAATTTGTGTTGATTTAGATATAACTTGTTGACCACTCCATTGAGTTTTTATTTCACTCACAAAAACCTTTTGTTTCAACCTTTGACATGGAGAACCTCCTTCCTCGAAGCATAGTGCCACCCGCGTCAGGAATAATTAGGGGAAGGAAGAGAAAGGACTGATTCTAACGTTAACGTTTGGTTACTAATGGTTTACTTTAGTTATGATGTGCCTTGGACCAGATAGGAGTGATCAGATAGGAGTTCTTGGAGCTGGCTCTTTCCCACTCTGAGCGCCATCTGTCCGCAGTGGTGGGAGCTGGGTCCAGATGGGATGTCTAGAGGTCAGTCTCAGGGTGGGGTGGGGGGGGGGGGTTCCAGATGCCCCAACTCCCCAATCCATGATTACATCTGTTTCAGTCGGAATAGCAGCTTGCGCAGTGCCTCTTCGCATCGGATGTTGGCAAGAACTAGGAGCCATGCCAGATTGGTGGGTCTCATGCACCCAGTGATCGTCCGCATGGTCTGGTTTAGCTGTGGATCCACCTGCTTGACATGTGCTAAGTTCAGCCAAACAGGGGCTCAGTACTCTCCGGTCGAGTAACAGAGTGCCAACCCAGAGATGTGCAGTGTCTGGGCATTTGCACCCCATGTAGAGCCTGCCAACTTGCCAAGGAGCAAGTTCCGACTTTTAACTTTCTGTACAGGCTTTGTCAGGTCGTCTTTGAAGGTGAGTGTCCTGTCTAGGGTAACATCCAAGTAAACTGGCTTGGGGTCATGAGCCAGTTTCTGCCCATTCATAAAGATCTTGAGTGCATGGGGGCTCTGGGCGTGGTGGAGGTGAAAACAACTTGAGACAGTCTTCTTCACACTTGGTTTTAGCCTCCATTTCTTGCAATAGGCAGCAATCTCAGACATGTCGCTCTTTAGACTTTCCTCAATCCTGTTGAATTCCTGGCTCCTAATGGCCAAACAGATGTCATCGGCATATATGAACTTTCTGGAGATTGTCTGAGGCAGATTGTTCGTGAAGATATTGAAGAGAGCAGAGCTGTACTCTGAACTTGCGTCCCGTAAGCAGCAGCTCAATACTCAGCACTACCCAACGAGGGAGAACAGAAGACATCTTGTGCAGCAATCCAGTGTGCCAGATGGTATCGTAGGCTGCTGTCAAGTCGAGAAAGACTGTCCCAGTCTTCTTTCTCTCTTGGAAGCCATTTTCTATGAAGGTGGTCAAGGCAAGCACTTGGTCACATGTGCTGCGGCTCGGTCTAAAGCCTGCTTGATTTGCATTCAAAAAAAGAGTTCGCACTGAGCTCTCAGCTGCATGTGTTTCGATTTTCCCGATGCTACTAAATAGTTTGGCAGAAGCTCTAATCCTATACTTGATATTTTGCCAGGTACAAGCAGAAGGAAGTAGTTTCAATTGATACTTATCGATGGTATGGTGCACGAAGTGCACAAGTGAATTGAAGCTGATTTTCCAGTAGAGCGAGAAAACGCGTCAGAATTTTTTTAATCCCGGCAGCCTCACTATAACCACATATTGCTTTCGTATCATAGGTGTTCTCAACCGACAAAAGCGCATTTTTATGAAGCAAAACAATAACCCAAGACAAGCGCATAACAGGAACAAAAATTTCCGAAAATGTCACTCACCTATGGCATTCTAACGCCACACCATCGACATGTGGAGAGTGAAAGTCTAGCTGTATGAGACCCCAGGCAATTCTTGCACAGAGGACGAAGAGAGTAGGCTTCCTCTTGTCAGGTGAAACAAAGGGCAAGTCTTAGCGCCTACTTGGCATCGCCCCCGGCGATGAAGAGCGCAGCCCGTTGTCTGGAAGACAAGACCGCTTAGTGAGAGGGACTTCGAAAGATGAGCACAATATTTTCAGAGGAGAGAGCAGCACTTTCCCTTGCGTGCGAATGCTGAGTTTGGAAGAATGAAGGGCATTGCTTTCTTCGACAAAGTGCTATTGTGTTATTCATGTGCATGCAAGTTTTGCGCAACGAAAATGTTTGAAGTACGGACGTAGATGACTATGCTCCTCTACGTTGATTTGAAATTGCTACTTGGGATAGGAAGGTCATAACACACCCGTGCATTTCATGCTCCGTCTCTCATAATTCTGGAAAGCTTTTGAGGCGGTAGCATGTTGGTTTCTCACCGTTGTTTGACGTGTAATAATGTCACCACAATTATTTTTTATTGAATAATTTTCCTTTTATTCAATGTAATGAACAAATTATGGAAAATGTACTAAGAGACGTATCGTAGAAAGGTGAAGGAAAAGGAAATTTGTGAATCCACATTAAAAAGGCTTCCTCATCAACCTTCACAAGAGGAAGATTAATTATGAATATAGATACGTTATGTCAAGGGAAATGGGGCATGTTAATTATGCTTATCTTTTCGGCGTCAAAAGTTTGTTGAACAAATCACATTAGTAGCATTGCACAATACGTTCATTCTAGAACAAGATTTCAGATCGCGATGTGAAAAAGAAAGGGGTTTGGGTCGATAAATGGGGGGAAAAAGTTGAAATTTGTGATTTGTAGATGCATAAGCAGTCGAACATCTCAATCGTTGATGTGAAGTAGCATGTTGCAGTGAGGAATAGTTGAAATGAGGAATCGTGCTCCTGATATTTCCAAGCGCTCTGGGATCCACAGGCCTCGAGAGGCTGCGATATCGTGGCAGACACTTCCTCTTCTTTCTGGTGTCGTGTTAATAGTTACTAATAGTTACAAATAGTTACTTTCAGACAGAAACAGGGGGGGGGGAAAGCATATGGGAATCAACGTTTCCGAAAAGTTAAAATGTTGGGGTGTTGCTTGAGAAAAAAAAAGTGTAGACAGATGGGAATTGTTGCATGGCAAATATCAATGTGAGAAGCTTCATTAAAAAGAGGAGGTCGTCCAGACAGCATATGCTGATTTAGATCACTTGAGGGATTCTTGTTGCGGGAGCACCGAGCACGTCTTTGGCATCACGGCGACTGCAATGATTGATCCTTTCGCTTTCTTAATCCTTTCGCTTTCTTAATCCTTTCGCTTTCTTAATCATTTCGCTTTCTTAATCCTTTCACTGGTGTTACTTGCCAACTGCTAAGTACTGAGTTATTTTGAGAACTTTTTGTTTTGCATTGCGAATGTTAATTGACACGCAAATATAAATTACGTTACCTACAATACACCCTTCAAGAGATGTCATGAGTGTCTTGTCTCCTCTGTCAAACAACCTTCAAAATAAATCGAGAACTGATGGGTGTTTCAAACCGGATATATCCGACAGTAGCACTGAAAGGGTTAGCACTGTGTTCGGGGATCTCTATCATTTGCGACGGCTCGCTAAGTACGAAGAAAGAGGCGCCGATTGGGGCATTAGGTGTTTCGTCTCACAGAAGTTCAATGCAATGTCACTTTTCTTAACAATTAAAGTTCATACGCAGATCTCCCAAACGCCCTTGTGTCTGGAAAACCGTACACACGTGGTTCTCAAGAACGTACCTCATCTATTCAGGAGGCACAGTAAAATTACACATTTTATACACATTTAGCTTCTTACCTTTCGAACAAATGTATTTTACAACCTACGTTTCTACGCCATAACGTACATATTATGTACCTCTGTTTCTGTTTTGCACTGCATTGAACCCATTGCTGAGCGCCGCGGTACCTCAGACAGAATTGCTTTGGAAACATGCCTCGAACGTGTGTTGCAGGAACGAGAACATTTGAACAACTTCTGCAGGAGGTGCAAGCGAATGAGTTCACCTCCTACATGTCCTTCAAGGTCTTTCAAGTGAACCCAGTGTGGTTCCAATCAGTCTATTTTGTAATGTCTCCAATTAGGATTTTGCATATCTCAACCGTATAATTTTTAGACATATCCGGACTTGATCGTATTTTCCTTTTTTTTCTTTTCCAAGGCCGGTTCCTTTTACGTCTTGCATGCTCACCTTCTTGTTCCTGTATTACACGTCCGAGGCATTCCTCCACACTTATTACTTTGAAATAAGTTTTATTTTGTCCTACTCTTGGTAGGTAATACATAACCTGGAGAAAGAGAGGAAGATCTTGTTTAGGAGAATGGGTGGCAATGTTACCCTATTTTACGATAGTCCACGAGTTTCATTAATACTGACGTCTTTCCACTGCTAATTTGATGCTTACATCCACTGAAGACAGACTTCCACATTTCGCACATAGTTACGCTGCTTATATATCGCACAAACACAGATAGATGTTACTCAAGGGATACAAAATTGCACATCACCATCTTCAATGGATTTGTCATGACGCATTCAGTCCTTGAACTCTGTCATACACGGTGTACCTGAAGGAGAGGGGGATCTCTTCCCGTTTGTGGAACTCCTGAAGCGTAAGATTCAAATAAAACTTCGAACTAGGCTGTGTACGTGATCGCTACCAAAAAAAGAATGTTATTCATGAGGTATCCTGCAGCCATTCTCGAGGTGGTGCAAATCAATATCCCTTTCATTTATGTAATTGTTTGGCGAACACGTCACTCTTCCGCATAATGCATATGCGTAATCGAACTACACAGTAAGTGAATCAGGGATCTTGTTATGAGCCGGAGGCTGTGCAGGTTCCCCTCGAGGAGGCGCCGCTGCCCAGGAGGTGTCGGCCCTGGGGATTTCCGCTTCCTGGGAAAACCCTTGAGAGGGTCCATTGACGTGCCGATTGTTGAGCGGGTGCGTGTCGTCTTGGGTGTTGGTTGCTCCCAGTTTCTGGTAATTTGCGACCACCACCACCCACAAGTAGATCAGGAACCCTGCGGACCGGATAGGAAATGTGTAGATGTTGTCGGCTTGACAGGGTTAAATTCAGGCGCTTTGGTCCGAATAACGTATGTCATCCGATTATCGTCTTCATTTTCGAACAAAGTTGGAGACTGAGGTATATGTGAAAATGATGAATTTTTACAAGTAGGGATGCTACAATGCATTTGGATGCAGACTTATTCGATGCGTTTTTATCTATATATAGCAGAAGTGGGTTGCGAACTGGAAGTGACTTCGAAGTGAAGGGAAATAATCATTTTCCCTTTGCCAAATTATGATCGAGCCTATGCGTCCGATTGTGCTTCACAGCGCGAGATAAAACGTGGACGCCGAGTGCTTCATTCCATGAAGGAGAAGTACTCACAAAGGACGATGAACATTTCGATGACTCCTACATTGTAGGAGGCGGCGGTGATATGCAGAAACTCGTAGATTGCGAAATCGCTGAATGTTTCAGTGTTCGAGACTCCCATGACGGCCATCAATGCTATAGTTACCAGTGGGTGTACAACCAGCCAAGGCAAGTGGAGCTTCCTCATATTCTGTCGTAACGACATAGGCAGGGATGACATCGGTTGTACGGACAAATCTCTCCCAAATCACACGAACTCACTTTTTCTGCAGAATAAATGAGGATGAAGGCGCAGACAACATAGACCATCATCAGCAAGAATAATATGGCAGCGCCTGCAATTCCACGTGCCTGCCTAACGAGCGAAGGCAAAAAATAATTATCACTTCAGCTGGCCTTGAATAATTCAGGGATTTGGACGTTATTGATTTCCTCAGAAACCAGGGATGTATTTGATATCTCTAAAATGAATGTATCCACTTTGAAGCTATATTTTGCGATCTTGTGACATTTTAGGTCTACCTATCCCCAAGCGTTTGGAAGTGGATCATAGGGATTCCTATAAAACCTCCACGCCTCTGTGGATAAAGAGCTCGGTGGATGTTCCTATATGCCGGAATCCAACCTCTTGTGTGATTCGCGCACCTGCTTCCAAAACCAAAACCTGCACCTGGTCCCACCCCCCTCTTTCAGGGGGGGGGACATCATCCTGCTTCCAATTGCAGCTCGTACCCTTCAATGACTCACTCACCAATTTCACCCGGTGGGTGAAAGGGAACGCTTTTTAAGAGATCCTATCCTGAGAGCAATGGTCTGATTCATACTCGATGACCAGAGACCCAAGTATGAACTCACCCCGTCGTTCTCCCATTTCTGGCAAAGTCTTGAATAAGGACATCGATGGTGATGGTTGCAATGACCTACAGAGAAATATACATGTGACATGTATATTGCAGATTTTCTTCAGTTTCAACCTATACAGACGTGTCGTACTTGGTTAACATGTAACAGCTTATGGCTTGGAGGTTAAGCTTGTAGGGGTAAGCCCTTTCGCTCGTTTGACTTGAATTACACTTCCTGATGCAAATTCAATCGAGTATTTTATCCCGTCCCAGCTGATCCCCAGATGCCTTTGGACTATCAGAACGTTCCTCTTTAGCTTCATTTCCGGATAAGTACGACGAATATCCCGAAGAACAATGTCAATCACAGCTGCGCATGAAATGAAATGAAGATTTCGTAGAATCAAGCTGGCCATTACCTGAACCCAACCGAAAATGATCTATCATGAGAAAGAAATGTAATGCCTGCATTAGCACTTCATTCGGACTAATCTTATAAATTTCGATTCTCTGGTTGAAAAACTCAATGCCACAAGTCATCACGACATTCCAACAAGTTGCTGTTCACTAGGCACTCGCATCTTTCGTTTTTTCATTCATCTGAACAATTTTAGTGCCATTGACCTGGACCACTTCCAATGCTCCCTTCCATTGAAAATGACCAGTCCAATGGTCAGTCAGTCAAAACAGCTTCGATATACTCTAAATGAATGCGATTCTTTATTGGCTCGGGTAGTGATTTGCTCAACAAGGTAAATCCTGCCTCACGAGCGAAAAAGGGCCCGGTAAGAAACAGTTGAATCGCACACGGTGATGCGAGCGATCCATTTTAAAATTGAACGAGCCACAGGAAATCGCCTGAAACGGTATCCAAGTAACATGGAATGATCCCATTCATGTCCCTGACAGATCATGGCGCCCCGAATCCCACAACGGACATCCCTTGGACACACGAGGGATTTGACACGTAGGACGTCGATGTTTCTCACCTTCCAAGATGTTCTCTGAATGTTCCAGGGATATTCATTTCCGCAGGACATTTCATGAGGGCATCGATTGGATGTCATCTGTCCTACGTGGGATCCACATGGGGTGTCTCAAGGATGTCCCGTTACTCATTGGGTAGAGCTGTCTGCCCGAATCCAAGTCACGAGCAGGTCATGGATGTCTGCATTACAGGTGCTGCACGTCCCCCTGGGGTGGTGGATGGCGTGGGCGTCCCGGGACCGTCAGCTTTGGCAACATGAGCCTTAGCTTTCACACGATTCAGGCCTGAAATTCTCACACATTGTCGTATTACAGAATAGCTAGAGCTCCAAATACAATTAAAATGACCAGTACTGATAAGCAAATTCTGCTGCTCGCGTCCACCGGAGGTGTTGCACGCAGAACTTGATCAAAAATCCTTCACTGCATACTCTCCTTCCGACTGCATGTCAAGTAGGTTCACATGGAGTTGAAATGATCAGGTATTAAAGGGTGTGATTGCGTGCCGTTTCGACCCTAGACATGTCATTCTATTCACACTACATTACATGAAGTTCTCCAGAAAGTATGCCACTCTCGCAAATGATGCATCAAGTCCTTCACGCTCTTCCGCACATCGTACACCCCAGGAAACTAAAGTTTCTTTGCTCGCAGCTCCTTGGCCTTCATGAATCGAGAAAACTGGATAGAGATTTTTTTTTCTTCTCGTACAGCTGAAACAAATAGTCATCCAACTTGACTTTAAAACTCATTATTATGAGTTGCTTCACGGACAAGTCTCATGGGTATTTTGAAGGATAAGTTGACTCAGACTGAACAATGTGGCAGGAGTCGGATCCATCAGTCGGATGCGAAATAAATGGGAAGAAGGAATGAAGGAATCATGTGTTATCCTTTTCCGAGGTCACGGCCAAGGCAGCCTATAATCCCCATTATGAATCCCCATTATGGGATGCTGTATATCCTAGAGCTAGTAATGTCTCATGACTTACAGGGAGATGCTTTATTTTATCCCTTTCAGACCTGAATTAAGGCCACTATCTGAATAATTACTTTTTTTTTGGGGGGGGGGGGGGGCTCTCCACCAATTCTACTTAAAATTTGTGTGTTCAATTTATCATTTTCATGTTTCATATACGTTTACCATATAATATCATACATAACTGCAATTACATAATTGAAGATTACACTACTAACGGGTGAGAGAAGACCTCCGATGGAATTGGGCCATGCATAATTGCATGTTACACTACAATGGACTCAAAGTCGCGAAAATCCAAAGAAATTACCATAGAAACAATGAAAACGCAATTTCCATTGGAATGTACGCGGGGTCTGAAATGGTTAAGGAACTTGTAGAAAAAAGGGCAAATGTAAATTAGCATGAATGGACCGAAGTTCACATGTTCAACTTGCACGAAACTTTCGATTCCATTAGGTAAAAGTGAATGATGCGAGAGATAAACATAAGAACTTCCGTTAAATGGACACTTACGAGTGAAACAGTCCCTGCGATGACACTCCCCTTCCTGGTGGAACTGCAGCCGCAAAAAGTGTCAACCCACACCATTCTCGGGAAATCCTCGAAAGGCCCCCTTTCGGTGCCTGCAATCCGTTTTAAAGTCGGTACTTCCGGTTGCGATATTCCGTAGTTCGGATCGACCCAACGCGCGCCGGTCCGTGCCGATCTATAGTTTCATTATTTAGTATTGACGGCTATTGCGTCCCACGGCACTGGATCGATTGTGAATCCATCCATCGCCAATTCATTCGATGGTGCGACGGAGGAAAAATTGCTACGCCCGAAAGGAGGAAAGGTAGCAAAACCATTATTCAGTCGTACACGCGCCGTCATCCAGTAATTAAGCGAGTCTCCGAGCCTGGAGCCAAAATGAAGGGGAGAATTCGCGAACCAACGCTTTGAGAAGCCGCTCTCCGAGTCCATCTATATCGAAGTAGATTGATGGCTGAGACGAAGAGTTTTGGGTGCCTGGTTTTTATCAGCTGCCCCTGTATAGCAGAATGTCTTCGCTTAAAGCGAAAATAACCGACCCTTTAAACAGTCTTTCCCTTGTTTTTCGGCAATTCGTCCTTAAAGAAGCGTTTTACTACTAAAAAAAATTGTCAATGCTTAATATTCTACAAAGCTACCGAATACGTTCGGTAACCAATGACACGTGATCGCATTTCATAAGCAAAAAAAATATGGGAAAGCATATAGTCATGATTAAACATTGACTGTTCGGGGCACCGATGTGTCACATTTTTAAATTGAAATGAAGCCAACTTAAGAAGTCAGCACGAGCATCGACGCCGAACGCATTCAGAGACCTATCATCGTGGCGACTGAAGTGAAGAACCGAAAACTTAATTTTATTATATAAAATTTCTCACGAAGCATTTCTTACCCCACTCGTCCTAAGAGCTTTAAATCCTGCTCGATTCTCGCCGTCCTCTCAACCTCTTCGATGGGGAAACCAAGTTTTAAGTCGTTCGCGAATTTCCTGATTTTACGAGAAAAATAAGAAGAGAGAAAAGAGTTTTCGGACCTCGCCCTGAGCGACCATTACTCGTTTCTCTATTCTCGACGACCAGTTAATAATCCATTCACTCGTCCGACCCTGGATCCCGTGCGCCACTAATTTAGCCATTTCGAGGAATGGCATGGAAAGCTTTCGCAAAATCTACATAGATGGCGTACATGGAATTTCTCTCATCTCTCTGTTCCATCACCGGATCATAAAACTCGAGCAAGTTCGTAAGACAATTTCGCCGCCTATTAAGGCCGTACCGAGGGTCCCGGATGTGCGGGCTCCCCTCGAGGAAATCTAAGGTGTCATTCTTCGGGAAGCTCGTCAGACTCCCTGGCCTGTATTTACCTAGATTTCTCTCATCTCCTAGCTAAAAGATAGGCACAAACCTCCCCCCATTTTCGCGATACTAGCTTACGCCAACGCATCATTGACTCCTTCCGAACGAGACCAAGTGAAGCCTCCCTCATCTAATCCCCTTGGAATGACGCACACCGTCACCCACACTCACGCCCAAGTGCCACAACACGCCCTATCAAATGCCTGAGCTTCCCAACGATGGTCTCCGAGCCTGATCCGAGGGTATCGCTGGTCCCGACGTGCAGAACCACCGACATTCCACCTCGGCCGACTCCAAATACACCATCCTGCACCCGATATGCCCTATCCTTGCTCCGGAAAAAGGAGCGAAAGTTATAGATTCTTCACTGCCCGAGTACTTAATAGCTGCCTCCAGACGCCTCACGTTAATCTCCTACGAGGAGAACTGGTCACGATTTTTTAAGCCTTCTCTCTGCCTGACCAACGTAATTTGTAATCTAATATATATCTCATTTTATCTCCTT